TCTTTGGTGACCGCACCTCACTTTGCATAATGTTCCCCGTGGCAGTGCTTCCATTTGTTTTTACTGCCAAATTTCATTGTATTGATCTACCATATATTTATCACTCGACAGACATTTGCATTTTCCACTCTTAGCTTTTATGAATAATGTTGCTATGATTATGCACAATTTTATTTATGATAATGGGGATCCAGCTCAAGGCCTTGCCACCTGCTAGGCAAGCTCCGCTACTGATATGTACTGTCAGCCATTAAGTTTTGTGTGGTTATATGTTTTCACTTCTCTAGAAATAGAATTCCTAGTTCAAATGACAACTTCACATTTAATTATTTGAGAAACTGCCAGACTGCTTACAAATCAGCTGTTTTAAAATATTTTCACCAGTGATGGATACAGGTCCCAGATTCTCCATATTCGTTGATTTGGTTTTTTGTTTTGTTTTTGAGACAGTAACTCATAACATCCCATGTTGGCCTCACACCCAGCATGTAGCTGAGGATAACTTTGAACTTCTGATCCTCTTGCCTCTACCTCTAGAGTGCTGAGTCTGTAGGCTTATGCTACCATCTGGTTTCTGTGGTGCTAGGATTGAACCTAGGGCTTCATGCATGCTAGGCAAGCACTGACAGCTAAGCTCCATCCCAGCCATACATTGTCTTTATTATAGCCATCCCACGGGGGTTGAAGTGGTTTACTGAAGTTTTGATTTATATTTCCTTGATTAGCTAGTGATGCTGAGTATTTTTTTAATTGTGAATTTAAAAAAAAAAATCTTTGGGCGTGGAGAGATGGCTCAGCAGTTAAAAGCACATAACTGCTCTTGCAGAGGACTCAAGTTCAGCTCCCAGCACCCATGTAGGTGGTTCACAGCTGCATGCAACTAGATTTCCAAGGGATCTGACTGACACCCTCTGTGGGCCTCTACAGGCCTCTACGGCACTACACTCATGGGCACAAACCCACACGCAGGCATTATACACATGTAATTGAAAAAGAAAATCTTTCTATAGTTAACATGAATTACTTAGGTTTGTAAAGGTCTGTTTGGTTGGAAGAACATAGTAATTTAATTTTTGTTACATTAAGATAATTTGACTTCACCAGGCATGGTGTTCATCTTTGCACTTAGGGAGGCAGAAGAAGTTCTGTGAGTTTGAGTCCAGCCTGGTCTATATAGCTAGTTCGAGGCCAACCAAAGCTACATTTCAAAAAGAAAAAAAAAGGTATTTGACCTCAGCAGGCATGGTGGCATACACCTTTTTAATGCCCACACTTGGGAGGCAGGAGCCAGAGGATCTCTTTAAGTTCTAGACTAGCCTGTTTACATGGTGATTTCCAGGCCAACCAGAGCTTCATAGAGAACCTCTATCAGATATAAAAGAGATAGTTCTTGGGAGGCAGGAGCCAGAGGATCTCTTTAAGTTCTAGACTAGCCTGTTTTACATGGTGATTTCCAGGCCAACCAGAGCTTCATACAGAGAACCTCTATCAGATATAAAAAAGATAGTTGTCTAGCTGGGCATGGTGGTGCAAGCCTTTAGTCCCAGCACTCAGGAGGCAGAGGCATGTGGATCTCTGAGTTCAAGGCCAGCCTGGTCTACATAGTGAGTTCCAGGACAGCTGGGGCTACAGGGAGACCCTGTCTCAAAAAGACCAAAAAAAAAAAAAGTTTTCATGTTTACTTATACAATAGTAAGGTATGGAAAGTAGAACCTCGTTACTGTGAATCCGGGAAGGAAAGCATGGGAGAACTTCTTGAAAAGCTGCTCAGCAAAAAATTTAATTATAGGCACAAATCAAGTAGAAGGAGAAGTTGTACAGTTTAAAGTACATTTATGTAAAGAATGCTGTTAATATGACCAAATGTTAATAATTTTGTTACATTCTGTAAATGAACAATTCTATGAAGACTGAGATTTTAAAGTCCTAAGGAACAGAGGAGAGGAGAATTCAGGCAGCCCTTAGCTTTGCCTAGTTTTATTTTGCACTAATTCAGTTATTATAGTTTAAGTAAGTAACTCCTCAACAACATGATTAAAAATTCACCTCTGCTGTAGTAACTGTAAGATTTGCTGGTAGCTTGTCAGTCTACAAATTAAGATACAAATTGCAGATAAACATGTCACTTAGGAAGTTTCTTTATGATTAGTGGTCATGCCGCATTTGTTTATCAAATCATGAACAACCGATAGATACTGGCCTTTGTTTCCCAATAATGTACACCTATATGACATCCCACCAAAATAAACAGAAAAGTATTAGCCAGCAAAGATGAAAATAGAGCAGAAACCCCCAAGCAAACAAAACCAGTACTAGTGCTAGAAGTGAACTGGATATACTGGAGTTAGAGACGAGCTAACCTTGTGAATGAAGATGTGCACATTTGAAGAGGTAAGTAGATGACCAGCCAGAAGAAATCAGCAAAGCAGTGAAACAGCTGTCCACCAAGATGAGGGAGTGGCTGTAGTGAAAGGAAGACGGTCCTAGAAGAAACAGACAAGGCCATTGAAAATACTTCATGATACTGAAGTACAAAGGACAAAATGTTGGAAGCCGGTCCAAACTTAGGAGGAAGACAGTGGTCAAGGTAGAAAAAATGTGTAAGTTTTCAGAAGTACTGAGGTGGTAGCCCAGCTATTCAGTTGTTTCCCTTGTGTGGTGCTGAGATTAAATTGAAGGCATCACAGGGATGCTCAGCAAGTAGTCTACCATCAGCTCCACTTCACACCTCTAAGCCCTCAAACTACTACTGTTATATTTTTTCCTTTTCAATAAAGAACACTTTAATCTCAGTGTTCCTACTGTTTTAAGTTACAGTGTATTAAATAAGTATTTTTACTGTGAAAGTACTTTAAAGGTCAAAAACAATTGTCATTCCCATTGATGTTGAGATTGCCTTGCACACTCATTTTTGTGGTCTACACCGCTATGCATAGTAAAGATGAAGTGAATAATCCATGTAAAATACTGTTTCAAGCCTTTGTGCCCTTTAATATTATTGCATTGGTCTTTTTAATGAGTTTTAGATTTAATTGCAGTTGAGACTGTTGAATATTTTTTATAAGTGTTTTTAACATCTCCCCTACTTTTTGAAGTTCTTGGTCTGCCAGTTTTGAGCCCTGGGTTTTTGAACTGTGGAGATAGATGCATCTGACCATTTAGTTCCCAAATTTGTCACTTTGTTGTTTGTCCTTTTAAGTCTGTACATTTAGAATCTTACACACATTTGTTTTGTTGTTGTTTCAGGAAGGATAACTTTTGAATTGATATCTTCTATTAGAAATACTTTTTTTTTGGTTTTTTGTTTTTTTGAGACAGGATCTCCCAGTAGCCACAGCTGTCCTGGAACTCAATATGTAGACCAGGCTGGCCTTGAACTCACAGAGATCTGCCTGCCTCTGCCTCCCAAGTGCTGGGATTAAAGGCATGTGCCATCACACCCGGCAGAAATACATTTTTGATAGAGGTTCAGTTTATTTACTTGGATTTGATACTTATGTATAGGAGGACTGTTCTAACTGAATATATTTCCCAGTTTGAGATTATGGCCAGAATTTAATAAAAGCCTGAATATCTCTTTTGAGGGGTGGGGGTGCTGCGACAGTGTCTCCTTGTAGCCCCAGATGGCCTGGAACTTGTTTTGTAGACCAGGCTGGCCTTGATTTCACAGAGATCTGCCTGCCTCTGCCTCCTGAGTGCTGGCATTAAAGGCATGTGCCACCATGCCTGGCAAGTCTGAATATCTTGTTAAAAAGATGATAAGGGCTAGGGGTATAGCTCATTTGCAGAGTGCTTACTTAGCATGTACAAAAATCCTAGGTTCTACTTCTAGCATGACCCTCTGCCCCATCCCTAAATACGAAATTATTTCAGTGTAAGTTTGACGTATGTTTCTTCATTATTGTGCCTTAATCTTTACATGGTAGTAATACATTTTGAAATTGGTATGCACGTTCAAAGTACATGGACACACTGAGTGTCTTGGAAGTACAAAATTTAAGTAATAGTTGACTTTTATAGTCCTAAATATATTTTAGCAGAGCATTAAGTCCCCTTTTAATGGAAATTTTTTTTTAAGCCTTATATTGTACCAGGAATAGCTTATTAGTTCTCTAATACAGAATTTCAGCAGGGAAGTTTTTTTGTGATACATATTAGACATTTTTGAAGAAATGAGCATCAATTTAGTTCTCTTGCCATAGGGAAAGTACATGTGTATCAGCTGTCATAGCAGAGCACTCATGCATTCTGTGTCTGTCTGTAGAATTAACAGGCTTTTAAAAAATATTTTGTTTTTATTTTATGCGTATGAGTATTGCTTGCATGTAGGTAGGTGCACCTGTGTTGTTCAGTGACCACGGCGGTCAGAAGAGGGTGTCAGATCCTGTGGAACTGGAGTTAGAGGTGGTTGTTAGCCACAAAGTGGGTGCTGGGACTTGAACCTGGGTGTTCTGTGAGAGCAGACAGTGATCTTAACTGCTGAGCCATCTTTCCAGCCTCGATGGAGTGGTTCCCTGTAGGTTTTGGCTAGGAATCCCTTCTCATGTTTACATGATTACAAAATTACATGTTTAAAAATATTTTTCTCCTTTATAGATTACTTTTATAGAGTGCACCCGTGTTGTGCAGTGGCCTGTGGAGGTCAAAAGAGGGTATTGGATCCCCTGAAACTGGAGTTACAGATGGTTATTAGCTCCCGTGTGGGTGCTGTTGCTGGGAACTGAACCCAGGTCCTCTGCAAGAGCAGCCAGTGCTATTAGCTGCTGAGTCATCTTCCCAGCCCTGTTAAGAACCTTTAGAAGCGTTAGAATAGCACTTTTATTTCAGAGTCTTTGCTTTCCTTGGTGAAATTTCTGTCAATTAATAAAATGAAATCAGAATTTAAAACTTCCTGTTCCCCCTTCCTATATTTAAAGTACATCATAGAATATAATGTTAATAGCTTACTAAGTGTTTCATTTATGTTGCTTTGCACTTAAAATCCCCCCTTTCTGTTCTAGTGCTTTTTTAGGACCTAAGGATATATTTCCTTACTCTGAAAATAAGGAAAAGTACGGCAAGCCGAATAAACGAAAAGGTTTTAATGAAGGTTTATGGGAGATAGACAACAATCCAAAAGTGAAATTTTCAAGTCAGCAGGTAAGTCTTATTTTCTAAAATTTAATACTATTTATTCAGTATTGGGAAAAAAAATTGTCACGAAAATACAAAACTAATTTAAGAGCCTTAAACATCAAGGTTCACCCTAAAAAAAGAAGACAACTTGATGTTTTCTGTTTAAATTATTGAAGTTATTAATTGAATGGCTAAGAGATCTCAAAGAAACAAAAATACTTGGTGACTTAGCTTCTTCTGGTAATTTATAAACGTAGTGGTGCATGCCTTTAATCCCACCACTTGGGAGGCAGAGGCAGGCGGATCTTTGTGAGTTCGAAGCCAGCCTGGTCTACATAGTGAGTTCCAGAACAGCTGGGGCTACAGGAAGACCCTGTCTCAAAAAGACAAAAAAAAAAACCCAAAAAACAACAAAAAAACCCTTAAATATTTAAAAATATTTATTAAAATACTTACAAAAATATAAAAACATTTAAAACATTAAAAATACTTAAATTTAAATTATTTACATTTATTTTAATATTTTTATTATTTATTTTATGTGTATGAGTGTATTGCCTGCATGTATGTGAGTACACACGTCATGTAATACCAGCAGAGGTCAGAAGAGGGCTTTGGATTCCCCTGGAACTGGAGTTAAGGACAGTTCGTAGCTGCCATGTGGGTGCTGGGAATCGAACCTGGGTCCTCTGCAAGAGCAGTCAGTGTTCTTAACCACTGAGCCATCTCTCCAGCCCCTATTATTTAAATTTAAAGTCGTAATTACTTTCTGTTAAATTCAGGATTTTAAATTATTATTGTTGTATGTTGATAAGATGTCTGTGTGTGGGGGGGGGGAGAAATTGCGGGCTCTGTGATACGGTGCTCATGTGGAGGTCAAAAGACAACTTTGTGGAGTTGGTTCTGTCCTACCTTTACTTTTACGTGGGTTACAGAGATTGAACTCAAGTCAGTAGGCTTGCATCTTGAGTGTCAAGAGCCTTTACCTGCTAAGCCATTTCACTGGTCTGACTTTTGTGGGTTTAGACTTTAAGCATATGTGCTCAAATTTCCTTATAAATCCATAGAATAGTAGTATTAGAATGTACCTCACAGAAATTAAATGTGTAACAAACATACTTACCATCCAGTATGGATTCTACATATTAATGCCTAGAATAGCATTGTGCCTCATTTTTAAAAAATTTTATTATTTTTATTTTATGTGTATGCGTGTATTACCTGCATGTAGGTAAGTGCACCTGTGTCGTGCAGTGCCTGCAAAGGACAGAAGAGGCTGTCGGATCCCCTTGGGCTGGAGTTACAGACAGTTGCTAGCTCCTATGTGGGTGCTGGGATTTGAACCTGGCTCTTCTGCAAGAACAACCAGTGTTCTTAACTGCTGAGCCATCGTTCTAGCTCCTGCCTCATTTTTTTGTCCAGAACTTTGCACTGTATATGTGACACTACATTTCCATGGATTAGTTTGTGTTTACCTGATTTGTTTCATTTTTCTTGTACAACAGAAATTACCATTACCATGTTAATGATATTGACAGTAGATCTTTAATTTTATTTTTGTGTGTTTGCATAGTGTGCAGGCATAGGTTTGTGTGCTGTAGCATGCTTGTAAAGGTCAGGTTTATGGACTTGGTTTTCTCCTTCCACATCTCTGAATCCTGTGAATCAAACTCCAATAACCAGGCTTATCGTGCCTTTACCTGCTGAGCCATCTCACTGGCCCTGATACTGCTTTAATGTTTTTCTATTATTGCCAGTTGCGCTCTTGAACATACGGAAGTTCTGGAACTCTTAGATAAAATGAGCCAGTATTTATAATAGCTTTCAAGGAGGTATTTATGAAACTATTCTAAAGTTTTTCATTCATCGGTAAAAACCAGTTGTTAAAACTTTAGGAAGCAAAAATTAGAAAAGATAGGAATAAACTTAAAAAAAGAGGTAGCAACAAACTGACCATGATGCAACTCATAAATCTGTTTTTCACAAGTGCCATACTGTTTCTCATTTTTAAAAACTCTTCAGATGCTGTTCTGTGTGGAACATTTAAGTCTTTCATTGATATACCAAGGTTGAGCCTTCATTACCACCTACTACTTACTTGTGATACTCATTGTAGACTAGTGTAATTGTTTCTGTGCTTGTCTACAACTGCCACAGACTGAGTAAAGAAGTGGTGTGTCCTTTCTGCCCAGCACTGCTGAGTATGTGACAAAGCTCTATGTCCAACAAATGCTTGTTGAATGCATACGTGGTTTCCCATCACAATACACTGTGTAATGAGAAGACATCTGAAACTGTTTCATAAAACACTTTGTAATTTCTCTTGTATCATCTTGTGATTGCACCTTTATGATCTTTTCTGTCCTTCAGATTGCGCATCTTAGTTTCTCTGTTTTCTGTTCCCTTCTACACCTACGTAAGCACCAGGTAGTCTTTACCAGCTAAATCTGTGATTTTTCTATTTCATAATAAAAGTTATGTGTTAAAACCAATAACTTTCCATCTTTAGCTACAGTATGACCAATTTGCTGATTTGATGTGCTCTGGATTCCCAGGCCCAGAGAGGTCCCCAGGGGTAAAGAAAGCAGTGATACTCAGATTTGTTCAAAACAAAGAATTTGGCCATCATAATTTTCAAGGAGACTTTTACATAATTTTGTCCCTTTAAAAAAGAATTGGTGCTCAAAAAGTTTTAGATTTTCTGAGTAGGGATGTTCAACTTGTAGCATTTATGGGTCTTGTCCCCCCTTTCTGGAGACAGGATCTTGTTATGTAGCTCAGGCTAGCCTCAAACTAAGAATTTGCCTGCCTTACTTTCCTGAGTGCCACCATATCTGGCTAAAATTTTTTACTTTCGGTTTTAATTGTTTTGTTTTGTTTTTTAAGGCAAGGTCTTACTTCATTGGCTCATCTTGACCTGGTCCTTTCTATGTAGTCCAGGATACCCTCAAACTAGCAGCCATCCTCTTGCCTCATCCTCCTAAAATTCTGGGATTATAGGCATGTGCCACTATGCCCAGTTTTAAAACTTTAAAAATTATATTTATTGGGCTGGAGAAATGGCTCAGCAGTCAAGAGCACTGGCTGCTCTTGTAGAGAACCTGGGTTCAATTCCCAGCACTCACATGGCAGCTATCAACTGTCTGTAAGCCTAGTTTCAGGGGACCTGACGCCCTCTTCTGACCTCCACAAGCATTGTACAACACAGGTGCACTTGTATACATGCAGACAATACACATAAAATAAAAATAATAAAACATTTAAAAATTAAGTTTATTAAGTGTCCTTTGGAACAGAAATTGGGGTACTTCTATAACTTTTTAATAAATAAGCTTTTGAGTTTTTAGGAGTAGAAAAATTTCAAGTTTGATAAACTATATTTTTGAAATTAATAGAATTTATTCTGCGTAGGCATCAACTAAACAGTCAAACGCATCATCTGATGTTGAAGTTGAAGAAAAAGAAACTAGTGTTTCAAAGGAAGATACTGATCATGAAGAAAAAGCCAGCAATGAAGTATGTTTTCTTTTCTTTTCTAAGAAGGAATCTACACACACACACAACACACACACACACACATACACATACACACATGCATGCATACATACATATGTGTATATTTATATCTGCATAATTTAGGTATGTTAATAATAATTTGTTGAATATCTTGCAAGGGATAGTGTAATTACTGCAAGAAAGGAATTGGAAAATGAGTTGATCATGGCAAAGAAATAATCTTTAAAATATTTGGAAAATAGATGAGACAAGGTATAAATATTAAATAAGTGTTATAAAATATACGTCTTTAAGATGTATGAGTGTTTTTATTTAGTTACTTTTATGGGTCTAACTATAAAGTGGGTTAGGGTTTGTTAGAAGTTTGGGAATTTTTTTGTTTCTGTTTTTGAGGCAGAGTTTCACTGGCTCTGCCTGGCCTGAAACTCACTATGTAGATCAGGCTGGCCTCAAACTCATAAGCAATCTGTCTGCCTCTGCCTCTCCCCTTCCCCTCTCTAGCCCGGCTGATAGAGATTTTTGTTCAGATTTTGGTTTTTTTTTTTTTCTTTTTTCTTTTGTGTTTTTGAGACAGGGTCTCCCTGTCCTGGAACTCACTATGTAGACCAGGCTGGCCTTGAACTCATAGAGATCCGCCTGCCTCTGCCTCCTGAGTGCTGGGATTAAAGGCGTGTTTTTGGTCTTTTTGAGATAGGGTGTACTTGTAACCATAGCTAACCTAGAACTTGCTATAGAAACCAAGGTGGCCTCCATCTCAGAGGTCTGCTTGTCTCTGTATCCCAAGTGCTGGAATTAAAGGTGTGGGCCTCCATGTCCTCTTTACAAGACACTTTGTAAAGAGTATTGTGGGTGTAATGTACTTGAAAAAGCATTATACTGAAAAATTTGAAATCTAGGTTTGTCTGTCATTATCTGAGTGGGGATACTCAGCCCTTGTAGGTTTTAGAAATTAGCTAGCCTGATGATCTCCAAAGTTCTAAGCACCTTTTAAAATCAGTACTGCCAGGGCTGGAGATGTAGCTCAGTTGCTAGAGTACTTGTTGAGATGCACAAGGCTCTGGGTTTGATCCTTAGTGCCCCCTCCCCCCCCAAAAGAATAGATTTTTAATTGATATACATAAAATAACCCTGACATTTAGAATTCTCTAGAAAGTGGTTTTATAAAGCTAAATAGACAGACTTGATGTACTAGCAAATATTATTATTTATGTATGTATACATATATCTTGGCTATTACTTTCACTATAATATTAAGGCTTTGTTTATAATTTCAAGGGTCAAGAGTAGCAAAAAAAACTTCCTGGCAAACATGAAGTATGTTTGTAACTTTAAGAAAATTTCTTTCACTTTTGCATAATACATTCAGTTTTACCTGTATATTTTGTTTTTGTTTTGTCTGGTTTTGTTCTGTATTTTAGGATGTGACTAAATCAGTTGACATAACTACTCCAAAAGCTGCCAGGCGAGGAAGAAAGAGAAAGGTAATTTCTAACAGCCACAGGAATTTTTAAAGAAATTTTATTTTACTAGGGTTGAGGAAGAATAAAGATAATGAAACCTTATTGCCCTTGACTGCTATGCCCTTTGATTCTTTAAAGGGTGAGTTATGTTGGTTACTTAGTAAAACTCTTGGTGAAACAACTATGATACCCGTAAAATAAGTTGAGTGATAAAAGGAAATAAAAAATAAGCCAACTTTCACTCATTGCTGTGCCTCTGCTTCAGTTTTCTCTGTAAAATGGAAAGTAATCACATTGCTGAGGATTTGGTACATGTGAGATGTTCCTGGTTCCTAGACAGTTAGACATAAATGTATTGTCTACGATGTTATCTTAGTGTTAGGCGAAATGAGAGTGAGAGACAGTGTACGGTTGAGCGTCTGTTAGACTTTGAGTGAATGTTTCTTATATGAAGCTTATTCCTACCTTTTTTTGCTTTATATTTTAATTTTATGTGTATGAGTGTATTGCTTACATGTATGTAGGTGCACCCATGTCATGCAATGCCTGTGGAGGTCAGAAGAGGGCATTGGATCTTCTGGAACTGGAGTTACAGACAGTTGTTAGGAGCCATGTGGGTGCTGGGATTTGAACTCAGGTCCTGAAAGAGCAACCAGTGCTCTTAACCACTAAGCCATCTCTCCATCCCCTGTTCACTCCTTTCTCTGACCTAGTTATTATATTCCACACAATTATATGCCAAAGATGCAAATTAATCAAAGGATTCAGTATTCCATAAATAAGTAAAATAAAAAAACAATTATAATGGCTTTTTACTCCCCTGGTGTAAGAGAATTGATGTGATAACTTTAATAAGACTTTCAAAGATAGGCAAATAAAGGAGGATGCTGAGGCAATTTAAATAATATAGAGACATGAAGGAAATTTTAAGAATTTTGGGTTTAGTATTATATTTCACTATTGCTAAGCTTGGAGGGGAATGGGTATAAAATTCCAGTGTTATCCTAAGAACTGAAACTTAGAGAAGTGATGGGAAGTCTTTGAATCATTTTGAATTGTAGGTGACTCCTTTATTAAGGCAGTGTGATGATAGGAAATTGGATGAGGGCAGTGAGAGTCAGGATCTTAGAACTGATGTTACTGGCCCAGGCACAGAGTTGCAGGGTAAGTAAGGAGGGTAGGTCTCTTTTCTCATTGAATTTTAATTTTTATCACCAGAGAAAATATAGGCATACTTAATTTCCTTAAGCTTTGCTTTTCGTACTTTGCAATACAAAGAGTTTTATAAATTGAAAGTCTGTCACAACACTGTACTGAGCAAATCTTTCTGTACCATTTCCCAACACTTTGTGTTCATTTTGTCTCTGTGTCACATTTTGGTCATTCTCATAATATTTTAGACTTTATTATAGATCTGTTATGGTGGTCTAACTACCTTTGCTGTTTTGAGGTGCCACAGACTGCCTATATAAGACAGCAACCTTAATTGAAAAGTGCTGGATATGTTGTGACTGCTTCCCACTATGGACCGTTCTCTGTCTCTGTTTTTAGAGTAATTGAAATTAGTTCATTTACATATGACCTTCAGGTATTTAAGTGGAAAGAAGAATCATGGGCTTCTTACATTAAGCTAAAAGCTAGAAATGATTAAGCTTATTGAAGGAGGCATGGTGAAAGCTGGCATGTTGCAAACTAGGCCTTTAGGACAAGTTCTTGAAAAAATTCAGTGTTGGCTCCTGTGAAGGTAGGAATGATAAGAAAGCACAACAAAGCTGGGGTGAGTGGCACACCTTTTACTCAGGGTGTAGAGACAGGTGGATCTCTGAGATCAAGGCTAGCCTGGTCTATAAAGTAAGTTCCAGAGCAGCTAGGGTTATAAAGAGACTCTCTTTAAAAACAAAACCAAACAAAAAGGAAGCACAACAAACTTACTGCTGCTAAGGAGAAGGTGTTAGTGGTCAGGATAGAAGATCATGCCAGTTGCAATGCTGCCATGAGCCAAAGCTCAATGCAGCTCAGTGCCCTGTATTCGATTTTCTGAAGGCTGAAAAAGGTGAGGAAGGTGCAGAGTAACATATTGAAGTTAGTAAAGGTCAGTTCATGAGGTTTATGAAGAAGCTGCCTCCATAGCATTAAAGCACAAGGAGATGTAGCAAATGCTGATGTTGAAACTGCAACAAATTATCCAGAAGATAGACCCAAGATAGTTGAAGAAAGTGGCTATACTGAAATGACATTTTCAGTGTAGAGGAAACAGCCTTACTGTGGAAGAAGTTGCCATATAGGACTAGAGAGGAGTAGTCAGTGTCTGGATTCAAAGCCTTAGATGACAGCTGATCGTTAGGATCTGGAACTGCTCATAATTTGAAAATGAACCCACCTTGAAAATCCTAGGGCTTGTATGAATCATACTAAGTGTATTTTTCATAAAAGCTTGGATGACAGCATAACCGTTTACAACATTTGCTAAGTGTTTTAAGCCCACTGTTGAGTCCTGCTGTGTAAGAAAAAAGATGCCTTTCAAAAGATGTTCATTGACAATGCACCTGGTTGCCCAAGACCTCTGATAGAAATGTACAAATGGATAGTGAGATTGTTTTCACACCTGTGAATAAAAACAGCAACTCTGGCCCTTATGGGTGAGCAGTGAGAGCAGCTTCTTGATAGAATCTGCTCCTGGTGGTGGTGCTGTAAATATTGAAATGACAGTAAAAGATAAGTTCTGTTGGCAAAATATCATATATCACTTAAAAAAGAAATTGCCATGAGTACTCCAACGTTTAGTAATTATGCTGATAAACTGTAGTCATCAACACCAAATTAAGGCCCTCTCCTTGGCGGAAGAATGTGGCTCACTGAAGGCTCAGGTAATTTAGCTTTTAGAGTTATTTTTTCTCTTCACTGTTGGGATCAGTCCTGGCACCTTGTATGTGTTAAGCAAGTGCTCTACCACTGAACTATATGTGTGTGTGTGCGTGTGTGCATGCGTGCATATGTGTATATCCCCAGCTCTGTTTGCTAGCAGTTTTTAACCAATAAGTGTGTATGTGTGTGTGTGTGTGTGCGCGCGCTTGATGATCAAACCTACTGCTTGCACCTGTTAGGCAAGTCGTTTACCACTGAGTTACATTACATCCTCATTCTAATAAAGTATTTGTAAACTATGGTATATGCATTTTAGTTAGACATAGTACTTCTGTACACTTATTAGGCAACAATATAATGCAAGTGTAACTTTGATATGTACCAGAAAGCCAGAAAATTGACTTGCTTAGTTGCGAATAAGGGATGAGGAGTTGTGACAGTGACCTAGTAACTGACTGGGTCTTGAGAGGCCTTCTAAGGGGTTGGCATGAAATTCAAAGGACATGGATCTTACAGCAGGTTAGTTACATAATTTTTTCTTCATTCACGTGAATGTTATTTTTCTTCTATTATGTATATCATTACATCATCATTATATCAGTTAGAACAGATTGTTGTTAAAATATGTGCTATAGCAGTAAGTTCCCATTCACCGAAGGCTGACAGCTTTTTTTAAAGCTACTTTTATTTTGTGTGTGTGTGTGAGCCTTTTTTAAAAGCTACTTTTATTTTGTGTGTGTGTATGTGTGTGTGTATTTCATACTGAACATCCCAAACAATCTTTATACCTCCATCCCAAATAGTACCCTCCCATAGCCTCTGCCCCCATTTTTTTTTTTTAAGTAATATGAGATAAAATTTAGAGTGCTTCAGAAAGTTAAATTGAAAACATGTTTAGAGAGTGGAACAGAATTTTAAATTTTTTGTATTTTTATTTTTTTATGTGTTTACATCTATTGTCTGCATGTAGGTGAGTGCATCTGTGTTGTGCAGTGCCCACGGAGGACAGAAGAGGCTGTTGGATTACCTGGGACTGGAGTTATGGACAGTTGTTATTTGCCGTGTGGGTGCTGGGATTCGAACCCAGGTCTTCTGCAAGAACAGCCAGTGTTCTTAACTGCTGAGACATCTTTCTAGCCCCGAGTGGAACAGAATTTAAGATGACTCCAAGGTGTTGGCTGGAATGAGTTATTAAATATGGACAAACAGAACGTGTTGGTTTGGGATTAGAAATAATGGGGAAGGGAAAGTGAAGCGCTCATGGGAATTATAGTGAAGATAACTATGGCTCTTGTACCAAAAAGGGAAAGGAGATAAGTTGAAGATGCAGTCACTGGTGTGATGCAAGTAAAGGAAAGATGAAAACGTTCACTGGGTTGGATGCAGGAAACAGAACTGAGGGAGTATAATGGAGAGGGACGGTGGCTCTGGAAAATGATGACAGGAATGGACTACCAGACACCAGAGGTTGTCAAGCATAGGGGAGGGTCAGTAGTGTCCTGATGCAGAGGGTCTGGTAAGATGCTTGATAATTAGGCCCATCCAGGATATTTTATTTTCATTTAGTTGAATGCTAAGGACAGAAACCAGATGAAATAGATTGGAGAATAAAATGTTTAATGGTAGTAATAGTATAATATTTCCTTTGAAATCTCAAGGAATAGAGCAAATAATGTAGCAACACATAGGATTTGCATAGATAAAGGGAAGTATTTCAAGTGAAAAAAATGCCTTTGCAAAACTAGGAAAGATTGACATACCACTAGTCAGTATAATTTTATATAAGTGTGTACTGAGTTGGGAGAATTCCTTCCATTTTGAAGGAATTGATTTAAGAAGAGGTGTGTTAGCTTCTATGACTCAGAAGGGACTTGGAAATGAAGACAGTTTCTTCTACTAGCCTCATTTCCCTTTCTTCCTCACCCAGTTTAGAGGGAGACTAATTCAAGGCAGAATGACAAGTGAAAGCTTAGGCTAGCTATTCCAGGGCCCAAGAAAAGTTCAAAGGATGAGTAATAGCTTTGAGATCCCAACTGAGAATATATAGAATGAATTCATGTTTGTGTGACTTTTCCCTCTGTTAGGGCTCATCACCTTGGGAATGATAGAATACGAAGTACAATTCTGTGGTAATCCTTGATTTGTGAGACAGGTACAGCAAGGCAAGGATACAGTGGGAAACATGCATAATGGTTCCATGAGGCATGTGGAGTAGCTTTAGGTAAGATGAACTAGAAAGTGGGATAATGCTGGGGAGAGAATGAATTGAAGGTTAGAGGTTTCAGTCAGATGAAGAAGTAAAATATGGAAGTAATGAAACTTAATCAGAATGTATTTATATGTATATTTTAAATAGCTCAAGTTTCTCTAGTTAAAACACTTGTTTTTATGAGCAGCGGTTTTGACTTGAATGATTTTGCATTAATAATCACAAACATATCCATGATCTTTTGCTGATTATAGTATTAGACCTGATTATCTTTATTTGTTGATGAATATGTTGTTTACTTTTTACTGGTATCTTAAATGATTCATTGTACCTATACAATTCTTTGCTCTCGACTTATTTTCAAATGCAGAAAGGGTAAGTGAATGAGTTGGGTCTTCCCCCCGCCAGGAGCTGATCTGTTTGAATTTGACTTTAGAGAACCTCTGTGAAGTCATCAACCTTTGGTATCCATGAATCTTTATAAAAACATACCTGGTTCCTTAACATGGGATTGCAGAATCAGGATTGGAACAGGACAGCATGGTCTCATAAATGTTTAATCTGAATTAATTAGGGAGAATTTTTATATTGCTTCTGAGAACAAGGGTTACCTTATGTCAGTTTTAATACTTTGAGTATGTTTTATACCTAAATTCTTAGAAATGGATTTGCTGAATCAAAGATTTACGTGTTCTTAACAGCCTGGACATCATGTTTGCAAACCAGATCATTGATGAAAAGGTAGCATCATCATTGGCTTTGGTGACAAATGCCTGTAATCCCAGTATTTGGGAGGCTGAGGCAAGAGGATAGTTTAGACCAGCTTGGGCTATCTGTAGAGAGAAACAGTCTCAATGCCACTTGCCTCAAATATAAATAAAAATAATGCTTGTTATTTATTATTCAGAACCCCAAATAAATACATTAAATTTTTTTAATTAATGGAATTGCACTCTGACATTTAACAAATGCTTCCTTGCCCTTATTTTTGCTGGTGCAGTGAATGCTGAATTTCATATAGTTGGGGGAGTGTTAAGTAGTTTTTATGGTCCTTACACCCTTTTGTTGAATTTCTCCTTCAGTCTCACCTCCTTCCTTTGCAGGTATAATCAGTCCCATCTATTTTCTCATGTTTGCATTTCCTATGAAATTCATGGTTCTTTTATCCCTCATAAGAAATAAAGCTCTTTAAGTCAGTGATACTGATTCTCGTTTGGGCCCATTATCCTTTCAGGCCTATGGGGTAATATAACTCCTCTGAGAGAACATCAGACGTTAGGCTTGGTTCAAAAATAAAATGTGTGTATGTTAGCAAAGTTATTGAGTAGTTATGGAATAATTACATCAAGATGTTAGTCTTATTTTTTTCAAATGATTATTTGGGGTTGAGAATTTTTAAAAGGTGATGAAATATTTTATTTTTATTTTATGCATGAGTGTGTTGCCTGCATGTATGTAAATGCACCTGTGTCAGGCAGTACCCGCAGAGATCTGAAGAGGGCGTCAGAGTCCCTTGGAACTGGAGTTTTGGACGGTTTGTTAGCCAACATGTGGGTGCTGGGGATCGAACCCAGGTCCTCTGTAAGATTAGCCAGTGCTCTTAACTGCTGAGCCATCTCTCCAGCCCCAAAAAGTGACTTTAGGAAAAAACATGGGGCTAGAGAGAAGGCTCAGTGGTTAAGAGCACATACTGCTCTTCCAGAGAATCTGAGTTTAGTTCCCAGTAACCATGTTGCACAGTTCATCATCACCTGTAGTTCCAACTTCTAGGGGATCTGATGCCTCTGGTTTCCATTGGCACCTGCACTCGTGCGGACACCCACACACAGACACACACAAATACACATAATTTAAATAAAACTGTTCGTTAGGGTTATAAGTAGAGTTTGAGGATGATATTCTAATGAGTTGATCAAAAATAATAAAGATCATAGAGAGGTTATGCTTATACTTAGGTTCTACAGTTGACACACTTTGACTACTGAATTAGAACGTGCACTCTTTGCTAAGTAAGTTCATTAAATTCTGTGATTCAGGCAGAGAAACAAGGAGAAACGGAAGAGGCAGGAATGGTGACAGCAGCCACAGCGTCTGTTCATCTGAAAGCAAGTCCTAAAAGAGGACGGCCTGCAGGTAGGGCTATCAATATGTAAACACTCTGGCTCATGATTAATATTCTAATCCGTTAACGCATTTTGCTGCCTCAAGTGTTTCGAATGGTGTGAACAGCAATTGATTCCCACCGTGCTTCACTTTATGACATGGATACCAATGAGGCCTGAGAAGCGAGTCATCAAGCACTTTCATTGTGTGCTTAACTAAGATGTCCATGGTGTCAGTGGCCATGTAATCTTACAGGCCTCCCACTGCATACCTTTGAGAAGAATGCCACTATGCAGACACAGAGCTATGCAAAATAACAGTTTAACAAAACTTTTTAAATTTTTTTTTTTAATGTGTATGTGTGTATTGCCTGCATATAGGTAAGTGCACCTGTGTCATGCAATGCCCGTAGAGG